GCAGCAGCAGCAGCAGCAGCAGCAACAACAATAACAACAAAGAAAACAGAAAGTATAATCCAATTTCAGGAAGTGACGGACCAGTGTGACAAGTGTGCCTTGCTTGTCCTCCCAGAGTCCTGTGAAATGTCGTGTTGTCCATGTTTGGCGGGGCGTTGTCTGAGGGTCTTGGGAGCACGTCGACCTCACCATTCTGTACTGGCTCGGGATCCCCACAAGACACGACTTCACAGCTGGCAGGAGGGCTTGACCACTCACCATTTGCTTGACAAGTGATGGCCATCGACGAAGATGATGAAGCCATGCCTTCGTAGCAACGGTAGATAACCTCTGACCCGTAGTGTCTAGTCGTATAAATGGTCTAGGGAGTGAGGAAGGGAAAACGGTGGTGAAAAGTAACGTCTTTGTGTATATTATGGAACTAGACTCCATTACAGACAATATTACTGTAATATAATATACGTATTTCAGAAGCAGCAGGGCTAATTTTAACGTTTCCACTCGTGGCCCATTAAACACAAGGTAACTCTCCGCACTTAATCTCTTATTTTTTATTGAGAGAGGGAAGGGTGGGCGGGGGGAGGGGGGGCGTGGTGGTGAAAATGTTCCTTCCTTTTATTCTGTGCTCTTCCCTTTTACAAGGTATGTTGTGTCAAATTTCATCAATCTAGGCCTCATGGTTTTTGTTTTATAAAAGAGGGAAACTGATTTATGAAATAGAGCAGTAATTGCAAACCACGCCTACACATTCAAAACAAATCAATTGCCTTTACTTATTTTAAAGCACTTTTCAAATATGAATAACTTGTGTCTTATTCTTCCTTAATAACATTAAAGAAACGGCATGGGCAATTTGAACCAAACTGTTCGGATTTAAACCTCGAATTTATAGTTTTTATTGACTGAGTCCACATTTAATAACGAGATGGCGACAGCGCTTTCTGCAATGACAACAGTTTTGCACATTAGTATGCATGACGAGTACATTATGTGTGCAGCTCAGAGAAAACTCGTAGGATGGTGCAGAATGTTATCGTCTTGGTATATGAATGTTATTTTGAGATATCGCCGAAAATAGGCCCTGATCTTCATTTTTATCGAAAACGAGATTATATGAAATTTAGAAAGATAAACCATTTTTACATTATGTGTTTCAAGGAATTTGCTTAAAATGATTCTAAATGTATTTAAAGAATTATTTTTGAGGACACATCGTCGCCGAATTACGCCGAATTCCTAGACAAGCAGAGGGAATCTTTACTCAATCGGATGGACACATTCTTTCCACGGGAACCCCCACATATTGTATACCAAAAGAAAGAATCTTATTGCCGTTTCGGGAAAACTTAGTGTGCATGAATATTTAAACATCACATGGTTACAAGAGTTGCGCATCTTATAGTTTCACTTCTGAAAAGGTTTTTCTGTGAGTGACGTTTAACCTTCTTCTGTTCCATTTATTTTCGAGTTTACAGTTAGTAAACTGCAAGTTTTCTATTTCCAAGTGATTGAGCATTATCGTTTACTTAGTTTTGATTTGTTCCTGAAGTATACAAAACTTGAAAACCCGTTTTCTCATAACTTCTTCTTCGGACCCCTGTGAACTTTAAAGTGCCATAACTTTTCACTTTCACAGAATGCTCCAGTGGCACTCAAATGAAGTGCAAAATGTTCGGGAAAGATGTGTCTTTCAAAACATGCAAAAAAGTCAATTTTGAACATTTGCACCATACGACGGTTTTCTCAGAGCCATACACATATACCATCTAAGTAGAATCTGATCTCGCAAAAGCATGTTTACACACTGACGATACTCTCTTTGGCTCAGATAACG